TGGTGTCCTGTCCCCCCCCCCCCCCAAAAATACCAGTTCTTAGTTTTCACTTGTTTTTTGATTACAGAAAAATGCAAGACCTATTCTTCTGTTGCAAAGAACTTGGAGAGACCACAGCAGTTCTGAATGCTTTTGACACTATGGATTCCTATTTGAAATCTCTCAGCTTATCTTGTGAATCATGTTTGCACACCTAACAGTACTAATTTTGTGTGGCATCTCACGGCATCCTTGAAAGGATCTTAAGGCACCTGTGGATGCTGAGGCACCTTGGTTGAGAATCACTGCTTTAATGTCTTCCAGTCAGTCACAGTAGTGCTTAATCCAATGGTTCTCAACCCTTTTAGAGTCAAAGCACCCCCTCATTAGATTCAGGGCATCCTTGTTAGACTCAGGACATTCTTTGGAAAATGCCAGCTTTGTTTTGACTTTTTTTTTTAAGTGCAGAAAAATAATAGAGCAATTCTTCTGTTGCAAAGAATTTAGCCCACAGGACGTCAGAAGGTTTTTAACACTGTGGATTCCTATCTGAAATCTCTGAGTTTATCTGGTGAATTACGGTTGCTTGCAGACATAAAACCCCCCCCAAAACAATGCTTTACTTTAAACTTGGTGCACTTCCATGACGTGCCCAGCATATGCCCAGAAAAGGTGCTTTGATCTAACAGCTGATTAAATTAGTTTAACTAAAAGTGCCAAAAAGCCCCACTGCAGCACCTAATCTATATAGATGCTGCAGAGCTGGGTTGAAGTAGTGCACTGTCTCTTCTGGTAAAGTGTGTTTGTTTGTTTTTTTAATGTCTGCAAGCTGCCCATGTTTTTATATCTGACAGTGCTAACATTGTTTGGCACCCTGAGGCACCCTTGAAAGGATCTTAAGGCACCCGAGGGTGCCAGGTTACTTTGGTTGAAAATCACTACCCTAGGGGATTTGCCAAAGCTAAATGAGACCAGGTCAAGCTCATCCTCATATCTTTGTATTCTCTTTTCCTGCCCCCACATTCTTGCTGACTTCAGCTTCCATGTGGATGACCCACGTGATCCCTTAACTGCACATTTCCTCACCTTCATCAATACACATGATCTGGAGGCTTGATTCAACTCCCCTGCTCCTCAGAAGATCCATTCACCTGAGTTGGTCCAAGCCAAGCATCATTCCCTGTCTGATCTCTCTGAGTTCCCCCTTCACTAAAACCACCTCATCTCTTTTAACTAACGTGGCCACCTCTTGGAGGTTGGGAATGGGGAAGAACACATGGTGTATCAGTGAGATAAGCTGAGCTGCATTTGGGGTGTGTATACAGAATGTATTATTAAAAATGCCATCTGAAGATACCAACTTAACTGTGATATTCTTGTTTTTGGTTTAGAACCCAGTAGTGGTGAAACAAAAAGTCTTGGAAAGAATGAGAAACAAACTTTACCTAAGAAAACCACTGAAGAATGAAACTGGATTAGGTACTAAAATGGAAGCTTCAGTTATGCCTTTAAATACCTCTGCATTTCCACACTACCACATTTAGATTTCCTGAAAGTATAAATTTTGCTGTAGGGAGTGGGCATTCGGGATAGTGATACTATATGATAACATGTTTTACCTCTTAGCTACCAATAAGTACTCTTAGCCTTAACATAATTCTTAATATAATATTTTTTTCTCGGAATTTCCTTGGATTTTTTTTAGTTAAAAATGTACACATGAGCACTAAGCAGAATCCCTGAAGAGTGACTTCAGCTTCTTTCTAAGGGGTACAGAATGTGCTTGTATGTGTGTACTGATAACACTGCTGCAGCATGGGTGTAGAGGGATGCCTTCAGTTCCTCCTTTTCCCCCTGGGGTTGGCTAGCGCACACAGGGATAGCAGGAGGGAAGACGCCTATGCTGGAGGAGTGTGGACACTGTCAGGGTCATTCTTTACCTGGTAACAAGCCCTTGTTGTTTTCTCTCTGGATTGTGGAGCATTTTCCTGACCTGAGCGTTCCAAAGTATATGCTGTTTGGATGATTTGACAGAAAGTCCAGCCTATCTGTTCTGTATCCTTAATGCAGACTGTATGGTCTTACGGCCCCTTTTACCTAAACTGGAACAGCAGCCTCACCGCCAAGGATCAAGTGAGTTGCCATGCCAGTCTCTGGACTCCCACTCACCAGCAAACACAGAGGAGACTTCTGCAAACAAAACACTGTCACCCAAAACAGTAAGTACTAGTCAGATGACAACATGCATCAGGCTAGAGGGGTCAGACTCCCTTGCTTTGAATGGGATCCTAGCACTATGACTAATAGTAAAGCTTTTATAGCAGCCCAAAAAGCAGGATCAGTTTAGGCTTTCTGTTGACCAGAAAGTAGGGAGCGTGCTGCAGAGCTACAACTTGTGCACTTCTGTCACGGCACTCAAGTGCTGCTGTTACAGAGGGAACTGACAGACATGACAGCTTGTTGTACAACTGGCTACTGAAAGCACTCTTCATCTATGTACTGAAAGAAGCACACGGCTGCAGAGCACTTAAAAATGCTTGATTGCGCAACAGTTTGAACCCTCGTTACATGTGGGTTCAGATGAAGGCACTCCAAAGGAGGGGAGTGAGTTCAGTCTTTGATTCGCCCAGCCAGTGCTGGAGGGTGGGGTGGGGGCTCCAATCCATTCGCCTCCATACTGCAGAGCAGGCTGGGGAAACCCCAGAATAGACCTCCCTCCCCTGCCTTATCTCGTCTCGCCTCCCCCCCCCCCCCCCCCCC